TGACTTACAGGAGAAAATGAAGTCAGTGTATTCAGGGAGGGATGTTAGGATAGAATTTGGAAAGCTGTACAAATTAAGAGGAGGGAAGAAACAGAAAGATTTACCTGGAGTGTTGGCAGTAATATTGGGAGTTGGCTTGTCTCAGATGGACCAGCTCCTCACACAGTTGCAGTCAGAGAACTGCTCTTTAAAAGGAGACTTGGAACAATTCAAAAATACCCACCATGTTTTGCAGGCTGCTTACCAGCTGCAAAAGAGCCAAATGGTGGAATTAAGAGAGACCTTGGCTCAGCTGAAGGATAGTGTAGAGAGAGAAGAAGAATGGCAACAAAAGCATGCTGCGCAAGAACTAAAAACTGAAGCTTTAAAGGACCTTGTGCTGACCTCTGCTAAGAATAAGGGCAGAGCATGTGGAGAATGTGGTAAGGTAGAGGAACTATGCAGACAAATAAGGCGGCAATCTTACCAAATTGCCTGCTTAACAGGCTCAGACCTAGATGAAACCCCAGACTTTCCCTTTGATGGGAAGGAGCCTTTTGAGGAATTAAGCCACAAGCTCCCTGAGGCTTCAATAGCAGTACTGCACAAACAAGGCGCAGAAATGCCCAAAACCAGCAATGGGAAGAGTGGGAACAAGTAGTCACTCATACTTTATCGGGAGGAGAGCTGAAACAGATTGTTACAGATCTGGGGGCCTTGAGCCCTGACCCTCTCAAATGGACCTGGAAGCTGCATCAACTCAGCCTCCAGTACAATTTGTCTAACCAAGAGATGGCCTTGAGCCCTGACCCTCTCAAATGGACCTGGAAGCTGCATCAACTCAGCCTCCAGTACAATTTGTCTAACCAAGAGATTGAGCGGGTCATATTAACATACCCTGAAGTTCGCATCAAGTGGCACACATACCTGCGACATCCTAATCCCCCCAATCCCGGTGACTGCCTTAGTGTCTTACAGAGGCTCCAAAACATGGTGCAGGATTTAATGATTGGTACCCAATTACGGCTTGAAGCCATTGGGGATCGGCAGGGGAAAGAGGACCCTGTAGAATTTTGCCATCGCTATTTATGGTATCAATTCATAGCCAGAACAGAGCCACCTAATAACAGAGATGAAGGGAGAACGATGGGTGACATCATGCAGTGCCCTTGGAGCAATCAGTCTTTAAAAGGCGTGCTGGGTGGGCTGCAGCGCCCTGAGCGAGCTTGGATTGGGCGAGTGGATGCAGCTTACCCATTAGACTTGGCCACCTTGGAAACAGATCTGCGAGAAGCAAGGAAAGCTGTTGGAAATGTTGGAGAGGAAAGTAAAGTAAAGACTGTGGGAGGTGCGAATAATAAAAGATAGGGGGGAAAGAAGTGGGGGAGTCAGC